ATGGGGACGTACACAGCGGCAGATGTGTGTGTTTGTACATTGGGGGTGTACACAGCGGCAGATGTGTGTGTGTGTACATTGGGGGTGTACACAGCGGCAGATGCGTGTACACACTGGGGTGTCAGTCTGGGCAAGGCTCCATGCCCAGCCTGCGTCCCTGCCCGTGCGTCCTGCACACGTCCCAGCTCCTTCCCCACCCCTCTAGCTGGGGCACGTCTTGTTCCCGCCCAGGAAGTCCGGCCAGACCCTCAGCAGGTCCGTGGGCCCGAAGTGATGCACCACCACCAGCTTGGAGAACCGGCACTTCTCATACTCCTGCCAGAAGACGTTGAAGAGGCCCCAGGGGCTGTCGGTCACGCGGACGCCCAGCTCGTACAAACAGATCCCCATGAACGCGTCCTCCATGTTGATGACCCGGAGGGTCTGGGCCACCCCATACACCTTCTTGGCGAGGTCTCCAGAGAGCACGTAGCCGGGGCCGCCGCAGTACGGGGGATAGGTGTCGTTGGGGTACACCTCCCGGGGCACGTACCACTTGTACGCCTTGCTCCGCAGCGGCCCAGTGTTCCTGTAGATGTACCCCGTCATGAAGTCCTTCTTGGGTGGCAGCTGAGGCTGCAGCAGCTCCCGGACGAGGAAGCCCATGTTGAGGAAGATGTCGCTGTCGGCCTTCACCACGTAGCTGGCATTGGGGCAGTGCCTGCTCACCCACTCCATGCCCATCAGCGTCTTCAGGGTCAGGTTGTTGTAGGTGTCCAGGAAGTCCTGCTGGATGATGTCGCGATGCAGGGCGCTCTCCTCCTTCAGCAGCCGCTGCAGCTGGGAGCTGTAGTGTGGGTGGACCCCGGTCAGGAAGAGCCGCACCATGGAGACGCCGGGCACGGCACTCTCGTTGCCCCAGGTCTGGCGGATGGCGTTCCTCGCCTCGATGTCCTTGGGCTCCGTCACCACCAGCAGCACCAGGAAGGGCGCCCACTCCCGGCACTTGTCCGGCTCGTTCAGGAGGAAGCGGTAACTGTAGGGGTAGACGACCTGCAGCGGGTGCCTGGTGGACGCCGGCGGGCGGCTGGGCACGGGCACAGGCATGGAGTGCCTGGCTTTCTCCTCCTCAGTGCCTTGCCACTGGAAGATGGGGCTGCCCTGGAGTGGCTCCGCAGAGACAGGCTCACGCCGGGGTGCGGCCGAGAGCCACAGCTGCAGGGTCCTGGGGGCGTCGTGGTGGACAATGACAAGCAGCAGGAAAAGGAAGGAGGAGACGCAGACGAAGAGCAGCTTGTGCGGGAAGCCGGCCCTCATGCTGGCAGAATTCTCAGGGACGGGGCAGCCTCAGTGGGGCAGAGTCGCAGGCCTCTCCTGTGTCGTTCCAGCACAGACCTAGAGAGAGGGAGGCCCCGTCTGCATTAGCGCGAGAGCGGCCAGGAGCCACGGGGAGCAAGCCCGGCCTCTTGGGGCTGTGACCCCATCTCCTGGGTGGGCTGGGTCTGCTCTTGGATGGGAGAGCACCGTGTGCTGCAGGGGAAGGGGTGCATGCCACTCAGTCAGCTGCCCCCAATGCCCCAGCCTGGCACTAGGGGGCGCTGTGCTGCAGGGAGTGGGGTGGGAGTTCAGTAGGGGGCGCTCTCCCCGACGGTCAATGCTGACCCTAATGCCCCAGCCTGGCACTAGGGGGCGCTGTGCTGCAGGGAGTGGGGTGGGAGTTCAGTAGGGGGCGCTCTCCCCTGACGGTCAATGCTGACCCTAATGCCCCAGCCTGGCACTAGGGGGCGCTGTGCTGCAGGGAGTGGGGTGGGGGTTCAGTAGGGGGCGCTCTCCCCTCTGAACTGGCAGCTTAATTCTAAGCGGGTGAGACATTAAAAACAAGGTCCTCTGGCCCGTCTACCTGGCTTACGCTGCTAACGCTGCTGCCCTGGATACACCTGCCTCATTCCATTTCCCTTCCCTAAAGCCCCCTCGCAACTGCAGCAGGAGACACCGTCCATCCGGTATGTCCCCCAGCACCGCCCATAAACGTTGTGCCGTGTTGCCGTCTGGCTGTTGCGCACACGGGTTGCTCCACCGCAGAGGCAGCTGCATCTCAGTGGCCGGTGAGCAGCGGTTCCTGTCTCTCTCACAGTGACCCCGTACTCCACACACACCAGGGGCTGGAAAACACCCAGTGGGGTGGGGAGGCTCCTGGTCTCTGGGACGCAGGCGCTAGGAGAGACCAAGCCGGGATCTTGTGAGACCAAACCAGCCAGCCCCCTCCTACGGCAGCTCCATGAGTCACCCCACGGAACCTGCTCCTCCAGCCGGCCCCAGCATCCTGGAACTCTGATTCTCAGATTGCAAGAGGTCCGGGAGTGGCAGGGGCACCCCTTGGCCTGGTGAGAAGGAAACCGAGTCCAGAAGCGTCTGGGCCTGTGCCCAGAGCAGACAGGGGGGTGGGGGGAAGTCTGGCGCAGAGATTAGCACCCAGACACTTTGGCCAAGTATAAACAGCTTGGTGCGGTGGGCAGTGCTTGCCTGCCGCTTTGCGGCTGAAGCCCGTTGGCTGATGTATTTAATCTTCTGCCTCCCCAGAGTTGCTTGGGAATGCAACAGGATCAAGGCCGTGGGGAGGAGAAGTGGGGAGCTGGGATCCAGGCTGCCTGGGTTCTCTCCCTAGCTCCGGGAGGGCAGTGGGGTCTGGTGGTTAGAGCAGGAGGGGCTGGGAGCCAGGATGCCTGGGTTCTCTCCCCAGCTCCAGGAGGGGAGTGGGGCCTAGCGGTTAGAGCAGGAGGGTCTGGGAGCCAGGACTCCTGGGTTCACTCCCTAGGTGAGCAGGGTGAAGGCCCTTCCCTTGGCTGTGTCTGTTTGGCTAGCAGCCCAGTGGGGATGGCTCTGGGATGCGGAGTGGCAGCTGGCTAGCCTGCCCAAGACAGCCTGGAAGTAGAGATCTTTGCAGGGCAGGGAAAGGCAAACAAGGAAGAGTCCCTGCCTCTCCCACTGGGGCCTCCCCGCCGGCTGCTGGGCAGCATTCCTGGGGCCCTGCGGTATTTCCTCCACGGGTGATCGATGCCTTTGGCAGCAGTGCAGTTCCAGAGAAAACTGGCTGTAAGAGCTGGTGCCAAGGGGAGCTGCCAGAGCCGGGAGCCCCTGCCCAGCAGTTCGCAGCCCCATGAACCTGTCCCCTGCAAGGCCGGATGGGCCTGTGGCGGGGCTCTAGCTTAGCCCTTGGGAGACCGGCGGCAAGGCCCTGCTCTGCCGTGGCGTTCCTGAGTGATGCCATGACTCAGTTTCCACCTGTGTGTGATGCCCTGCCCCCCCCCACGGGGGTGGGGGGGTGCGTGTGAGGATCAAGGCACTGCAGCTTTGACTCCACTACTAAGCTGATGGGGAGTGGACAGAGTGGCTGCTCTGCAGACAGGATAACAGCCCACTACTGCCGCTCGCTAACGGAGCTGCTGCTTTAGCGCAATCCGGAGAGGCTTATGCTGTGGACGTGAGGTTACAGCGCTCAACCCTCCCTGGAAATTATTAGGGTTATGATGTCACTAGGATGGTAGCACTGAAAGGCTGCAACCGAGATCAGGGCCCCCTCATGCCGGACGCCGCCCAGACCCCGGCCGAGATCAGGGCCCGGTCGCACCGGACACTGCCCAGACCGCGGCCAAGATCAGGGCCCCGTTGCGCAGGGCGCTGCCCAGACCCCAGCCGAGATCAGGGCCCCATCGTGCCAGACTCTGTACGGACACAGTGAGAGACAGTCTACATAGACAAGTGTGGGGACAGGAACTGGAGACGGTAAACATGCCAAGGTCACACAACGGGGCCGTGCAGAGCTGGGGACAGAACCTAGGAGTCCTGGCTCCCAGGCCCCCCCTGCTCTAAGCCTTGGACCCAGGGCCAGCCCCGGGCACCAGCTGAGCAAGCTGGTGCTTGGGGCGGCCGATTGTTGGAGGCGGCATTCTGCCCAATCCTAGGGCGGCACGGCCGCTTTGTTGTTGTTAAGTATCAGAGGGGTAGCCGTGTTAGTCTGAATCTGTAAAAAGCAACAGAGGGTCCTGTGGCACCTTTGAGACTAACAGAAGTATTGGGAGCATAAGCTTTCGTGGGTAAGAACCTCACTTCTTCGGATGCAAGTAATGGAAATCTCCAGAGGCAGGTATATATCAGTGTGGAGATAACGAGGTTAGTTCAATCAGGGAGGGTGAGGTGCTCTGCTACCAGTTGAGGTGTGAACACCAAGGGAGGAGAAACTGTTTCGGTAGTTGGATAGCCATTCCCAGTCTTTGTTTAATCCTGATCTGATGGTGTCAAATTTGCAGATGAACTGGAGCTCAGCAGTTTCTCTTTGGAGTCTGGTCCTGGAGTTTTTTTGCTGTAAGATGGCTACCTTTACATCTGCTATTGTGTGGCCCTGATCAGGAATGGCAATATACAAAAACCTGTAGGAGAACACTTCAACCTCCCTGGCCACAATCCAGCAACCACGTTCGCTTTGCTGCAAACTGCTCGTCCCCCACCACTGCCGCCCTGGCCTGACGCCGAGACACTGGGAAGGGGCGGGGGGGAGAGCTCAGCTAGGTAACATTGACTTCGATTGGAGGCTCTGTGGGGCAGGGACCCCCGCTCTGTTCTTGGTGTGGGTCCTGGCCCATGGCTGGGCTCCCCCGTGCTACCGTAATACACCTAATAAATACCACTCATAAAATAACCCAGGATAATTTGCAAGAAAAGCAGTCGCAGAACCAAACAATGGGGGAAAGGGGCCACGGGACGTATGGGAGCTGCACCCCCCGGCGCTGGGAACAGCAATGGCACCACTGGGGCTCAGTTTCCCCTGGCGTCCCAGCTTGGGGCGGCCGGTAAGTGACAATCTGCAGGAAGCTGAAATGCGCTGAGGGCACCAGGAAGGAAAGCGCCAGGGGCTGCACGCGTGACCAAGGGAACGGTGGGTGCCTCTGCCACGCGACTCAGCAGCAGTATGTGGGCAGCGGTGCCATGAACCGACCCCAGTCTCTGATCAGGCGTCACTCAGCCGGGCTGGGCAACATCATTGGACATGAGCCAGGAAGCGAAAAATTCCCAGGTCTCATGTTCCCCAAGCCGGAGCCTGGGCCTCCAGGGGTGGGGGAGGGGGGGGTCACGTGCAGGGCCGGCTCTAGGCACCAGGCACCCAAGCACATGCTTGGGGCGGCACCTGGTAAGGGGCGGTGG